GCTGGCTGGGGTTAAACCACAATAATGGTGGATTATTCTTAACTGAATAGTAAATTCCTTACTTTAAAATTTTGTTTCCTGAACCTCCAGGCAGTGCTTTAGACAAGTTTCTTTTTGCTCATGGAACAATAATTTTGTTTCCCTTTCCATAGCAAAGAGGCTGGAATCCTATCAAGAGATGGCTTCAGAGGATGAGGATTCAGCTGATTGTCAGTGTGACTCTTCGACCCATATTTCAAAATGGCAGGGGCACAACTGCAGAGCTGTGAATGAACCTTTGAACAGAAAGTCTTTCAATCAGTTGTCTGGTAGTTACCCTGCATTAGGAGGGGAAGATGGAGCAGGTGATGTTCCCCACACAGGACATGTTGCTTTCAGCAGCCCCATTGTAAGTAAAAGCGGTTGGTTTTGATGCTAAATTTCTGAAGTAACTCATGAAGGAATGTCTTTTTACCCCCATTTGATCGGAGTGCTTGTTATTTAAGAAATCCTTTCTCATGAAAACGAGAGCCTCCCATGATTCCTTGACTGCATTCGATTTGCAGCCGACATTGCAGATGTTCGTTGGGTCACAAAGGTGTATGCTTTGGTTTTTGCTGCTGTGAATCTGGGATCACTCCAGCTGAAATAACCAGCTTCATCTTAATAACAGTTTGCACTTTTGTTTTAAGAGGTTTCTAGCATTTTCTTTTGTTTTTAATAGGAAATATCTAGGTGATCAATATTTATTGGAGATTACAAGAGGTAAAAACTCTGCTTCTGTACATGAAGGTGTCTAAATAGCATTCTTCAAACTTATTCTCTGTTGAAGTGTCTATAAACTAAGGCTCTACTGTTGACCTGTCTGGGCATGAAGTTTGCCATTTTTGATGGGCTAGCACGAGCCAGTGAAGACACCAGAGCGTTCCTCTGTTTCCTAGTACAACCAACTCAGCATCTGACAGGAGGGAAGTTGTATGAGCTTCTACACTTCATTCATCTGTAACTGATTTAACCTCCAGAGACTGAGATTAAGCTTATATCCTAATGGACAGTTTTGTTCATTTCATCAATAGGAAACGGATGTTGTACCAGACACACAACTGCTGGAGAAGTTCAGTCAAATTTATTCTCATTCCTATCAACAATCAGAAGAAGCTAGCAGCAAGTTATCTTTAGAGACAACGTACATCACTGACTTCTTTCTTGCTCTGGCAATCTGTAATACTGTTGTAGTTTCAGTCCCCAGTCAACTGCGTCAGAAGGTAAGGAGGCAAGCAGGCCTTATTTTTTGCTATTTGACCATATTTATAAGTAAATGAGCTCCCTTTGGTTTGATTACAAAAGGAAAAAACAATTAACTGACATTTAAAAACTGATCCGTTTCTCCTCTGTTGGTTTGTCCTGTTAGAAAGAAGCGAATTACGATGAACCCACAGGGTGCAATGAGTTAATGTGAAATATAATGCTGGTAATGTTTTTCCAATGCAGAAAAACTTGGCTTTGATATTTTTGCTTCTGGGTATAGACTATTCATAATTTTTACAAGACAAATTTTGAGATTAAATTGCAATCGTGATTTATTCTATATTCTAGTTACATTTTTCCAGATATGTGCATAGCTTCCTTTAAGAGTACCCGAATGCTTAGGTTACCTTTACAAATAGATTATTGTTGACTGAAAGATAAGAATAATCTCAGAAGGCTCCCAGAATATTGAAACTGAGAATGCTCTCACCTGTTCCCTGACAATTCAAATGAAGTTTCAGCAAAAGTCTGAAAGATCGGGTTTCATATGTATAATAACCTGAAGAAAAAATGCTTTGCAATATGACATAAAGTGGTCACACCTTGAATGTACAGTGTATTTGCTAGGCTGTCCTGGTTTAATGGTCTGGAGTGTGTTTAAGTCTTCTTGAGACACTTGTCTTCAGAGCATACAACCAAACATTTCTTTAAAGATTCTACTGTCTTGTTCAAATCTTTTTTTTTTCCAGGGTGGGATTTTCATAACCCCATCTTTTACCAATTTTGACTGTATTGCAGGTTAATTCCCAAGTTCAGCTTTGATTTCTTTCCTCTCCTGCCCTGATGATTTCCATTTGTTGACTTTGTCTTTTGAAAGAAATGTTTGTGACATGCAGGACTAGATTTTGGTGTCCTTCTAGGCAGTGAACCTACAAGCATGGCTGGAGACATGCCCAAAAGGTATCCTGTGAAGTATTAAGTACCTCCTATGTATAAATAAGCCTGGTATTTTAGTATACTTCCAGGCATTCCCAGAGAGCGTAGTAGGCAGCCTACAGGTCCATGTGTGGATGGGGCAGCTGTGTTCATAGTTGCTAACCAGCCATTCCTTGAAGGTGATATAGAAAAATATATTGGCAAGATTCTAGTTTTTTTGAGAAGAAGATTTTGGGATGACTTGGTAGCTGAGGAGGAGATCTCCAGGTCACTAGTAGGTAGGTTGGGAGGGGCAATGTGCTATGAGGTTCCTGAGTTCACAATTAGGGAATGACATGAAAGAGCTCAAGGCAATGGAATGTTTCAGTGCTGCGTTAGGAGAGGCGATGAATGTTCCTAGTCTTTATTTCCCTGATGCTGAGACACATTACAACTTGCGTGCAATTGCGGTAGAACTGAAGCCGGAGTCTGTCCTTACTTTATACTTTTCAGTGGGGAGAACATGCTTCCTGGTGATAACTCATTCTTAACTCTTCACCAGTCGTGAGAAATGAATGTCAGCATTGCATGCCTTGTTCCTTGTTTGTAAGCTATTAGTTGCCCATCTATTCTGAGTAACAGTAAGCTCGTTATTTTGTAACATTGATGAGAGGGGAACTATCTTTTGTTTTAAATTCAGACATTAAAAAAGTATTGATAAGATACTGTATTTTTAACGGTACTTGTAACTAGTTACTATGAGGGGTATGGAGTTTGTTTATTCTTCACAAGTATCTTGCTAATTCAGAACAAGAATTTAAGTGTTTAGGTCCATTTGTCACAACTTTTAAAAGTTATAATGTCATGCTGTTTCATTACTGAAACAGTTCTAAAGAGAAGTATTACATGGAGCCATGAATCAAACTTGGAATGCATACAGTTTTCAGATCTGAAGCATTTTTACAATTCTTTTGGTTTGAATAATGAAGCTCTTACAGAAGCTGTTTAGTGTACTCCTATGGTTATATGTTTAATTGAGCTGGCCATCTTTAATACAAGCAAAGTCATGCTAAATTTTAAAATACTACATTAAAAAATATACATAGTTTGTAAGCTGTCCTTCTTTAATGTAATAAGATATGAAGAATTTAACATAAATGCTTTCTCTAACTGTCCTGTTCCAGATGAGACTCTCTTCGCTGGGTAGGATGCCTATTAAATCACTTGAGGAAATCAGGCAGATGTTCCAGAGGTTGTCAGTCCGGAGACTAAGTTCCTCCCCACTTGCAAGTATGAAAGAGTCATCATCTGAAAGCCCCAATAGTTTTGTGAGCAAACTGTCCATTTTCAGAATGAAACTGGCTTCACCAGCTGTGGATGGAGCTGCTCGAAGGGCTGCTGAGCCTCACAATACTGACAGCCCAGAAAATTCCCAAGTGCCTCAAGAACTAGATATGGTGGATGTAGCTGCTGGCAGCGAACACAACAGTGCTGCGTCATCTATTGAATTGTCTCCCTTACCTAAACTATGTTACGAAGCTGAGAGTCCGGATGAAGCTGCCTTGGTTCATGCTGCTAGGGCTTACAAATGTGTTTTACAGTCTAGGACTCCAGATCAAGTAACTGTGGACTTCATAGGTCTGGGATCTTTAACGTTTCAGCTTTTGCATATCCTGCCTTTTGATTCAGTGCGGAAAAGGATGTCAGTGGTGGTTCGGCATCCAGTCTCCAACAAAGTGGTGGTGTACACAAAAGGTGCAGACTCAGTCATGATGGATTTGTTGAGAACTACATCTGAAGGTATCTGTAGAACTTCTAATTCTTTGCTCACCCTTGTCATTCTTCAGTACGGTTGAACAGATGGCCTGATTCATGAGAAAAGACAAGTAACCAAGCAGAACTGTTATTATCTGTGAATAGTTCCTTACAGGGAACCCAGAAGAGTAGTGTTGCTTGTCACCTAGATCTGGCTGTGCTGTGTGTTGGTGTGGAAACTGAGAAGAGAGAAGCAGCTGTTATTCAAAGGATTTAGTGGTGTTTAAGCAGACCCTTTGGAGTCAAATGCAGTATTTCCAGTTATAAGATAAGGTCGTCTGCTTGAGTAGTTGGCTTCTGCTACACAGTGAGAGGTGCTTATTAGAATGAGATACTTTCTAGCCTTTACCTATGTTAGTGTTTCTGAGCTGTTGGAGAGAGGTATCGACAGCAGATGTCACCTATCAGTGCTTCTGAGATTTTTTTCCCTTGACTACTGAGTATTTCTGTGTTTCTAGGTGTAACAATAATATCTGTAAAGTTGTGTGGTGCCTCCTGCTGGGCCCTGTTGTTTGGAGGTAAATGTTTTTTTGAATCTGCCCCAGGAGGGATGCACCACAATGTTTAAGCACTAACTGATTTATTCATACACTGTAGTGAACGATCGTTGATCTTTAACTGAAGGCAGCAAAGGAAAGTGTTATCTGTGTATGCTAGAAATAAATACCTAAATATATTTAAGTTCAGAAGATGTTCCAAGGGGGGGCGGTTAATAGTTTGTAAGGTAATACAAAGGAATTATTTTTAAAGGTTTGCTTTCTGCAAAAGGGGGTTTGGTTTGTATGTCCATGGCTAGGTGATCTCAGTGAGGAACAGGGATATTTCCAGTTCTAAAAGTGGATTTTAACTCACCCAGCATTAGCTATGTAAAGTCTAGACAGAAAGCCTCTGTAGGCCATGGGGCAGAAACAGAACTTCCAAAATCTGTCATCTTACTAGAGGGGGTAATTTCATGTCTGGAGGTGCCTCTCCTTACTTTGATTCTCAAGGTGAACTTGGAACCTAACTTCTACATGTCCAAAGTTAGGCAAGTTGAATGCCTGTCTGAGTAGTCCACACCTTAACAGTTATTTTTAAAGAACCTTTTCTGCGACTGCCTTTTAACCTCCTTCCTACTAGACCAGTGACAGTAAAGCTGCTTGGGTGTCTGTGATCCAGTTTATTTTAGAAAATAATCTTATTTTAGAAAAACATTTTGATAATACTAGTGGCATCCAAAGATGTATCAGTACCAGATGGGTTCCCCCTCACTGCTTGTGCAGACTAGTGCACTGAATGTTCATTATAGATACAGCCACAGTACGTTGTGCAAACATGAAGATACATTCATAGTTAAAATAAAACCTGTTAACATTTTGGTATTTTTAAAACGTATTTAGACCTTCAAAATTTTCCACTAAATTTAGCCTAAGAATGCATATTGAATTTGCTTGTTTTGCTTTTTGTGTGATAATAGGTACTAATAATTCAGAAATGGAACCAAATAAGATTAAAGAGAGAACTCAGAAGCATTTGGATGACTATGCCAGAAGAGGACTGCGCACTCTGTGTATTGCTAAGAAGGTATTCCTGTTAATATATATTTTTAAGAATGTTTACAGTCTGTGACCAACCTGAGTGGTAGCACCAATGGAGCAGATATCATGGCTTCTAAACAGATGCTTCCATTGCCACGTTTTGTTTATCCTTTTGTTCTTTCAGGAGGAATTTGTAAGTTGACTCAAATCATTTCCTGTCTTCCATTAGATTGCCATAGTTGTTGTCAGTTTAAGATGCCAAGCAGCTTAATAGCCTAATTCTAAAATAGGGGTTGTCAGATAGCCTGATTTTTTTCGAGAGTCCTGAGCAGGTCTCCTTGTGTGAAACTTACCCTGGTTGGAATTTCAGACACAGAAAACAAATAAAGTCAGACCTGTTTTATTGAGTTTCACAAACAGTTTACAGTATTACAAGCTCTGGATGCAAAACTTAAGTGATGTTTTGAGACTCCATTTTAAATTCAAAGCTGCTCAGAAGTAAAATTCCATAGGGATTGAAACAGGCAACCTGATGCTTTACAAAGCCTTATGTAAAGCCTTATGTAAAGTGAAAGTCCAGGCTGTGTAGCTGTACAGTCATCAGGCTGTGCACGGCTTGTGCAGTGATTCTGTGACTGTGTCAATGCTGCAATTAAAGAGCAGTATGGAGAGCATACTATGTGCATTGGCTTGCCTACCTTCTGTCAGAATGGAAATCTGTCAGGCAGCTCCAGGAACCTGCAGGATGCTGGTGAGTAACGTGCCTTATGAAGCCTTGCAAAGTAATGTAACACTTTGAATGTCGTACTCAATCCATGGACACGTTAGGGCACGTAAGTAATGCACTACCAGGGGCTATGCTTCTAGGTTCAGTATGTGGACCGCAGAAGTAACTGTGAGGACACTTCTGAGGCACCTTTGAAAACACAATATATATAAATGCCCTATGTTTTCTCTCCCTCTGTAGGTGATGAGTGATGCAGAATATGCAGAGTGGTTAAACCATCATTTTTTAGCGGAAGCTAGTATTGACAATAGGGAGGAGCTGCTGCTTGAATCTGCCGTCAGGCTTGAGACTGAACTAACTTTGCTTGGTAGGTAGAAAATGCTGTAACTCCCAGGAAACTGCTTATGATGTTCATAATTGGAATTTACCTGCAGAGAGCTGTGCTAACCTCGATTTGTGTAACGCATAGCTTTCTACAGACCTAGAATTTATTGTCACTCCTGAATTTTCATAAATCATGCTGGCAAGTTTGTACTAGTTGTAAAACACACTGAAGACAGATAGTACTCTTCTGTTGTTTGTAAAGGATAAAGTTTTACGGATCTTTTTTTTTGGTGGGGGGGGAAGCTTTTTTGTGCTCACTAGAGTTTTTAAGTGTCATCATAATAAGCATGTGAAATGATAATAACAAACCACAGGCCTGCCTGGTCAAACATTCACAGGGATCCCACTTCTGGGCATGTTTTCCATTGCTGTTGCATTTGTGGCACAGCAGATATGCTTGTGCTGTGTCCTCCTGTAATAACATGGAGACAAGAAGTCAGGCATGCTTCTGCAGGTCTGATGGTCACTCGACTGTGCAGAAATGGGGAGGCCAAAACAAAATGAGAAACACTTGGTGTAGGTGTGTAAAAGGTAAACTGCAGGCAGTCTGGGATAATAGCTCTAGAGGACTGCCCAGCAAGTAACATTTGGAAAACAAAGTGCAAAGGTCTGACTGTGGTGGTGAAGGCAGCTCATGCTGGAAGCTGAAAAGAGACAGATCCTATTGTGTGGAAAGGTGTTACTTCCCTCATTTTATGCCACATCTGCTCAGGGCAAATGTCATAAACCTTGATACTAAAAGGAACTCTGGGATTACTGGCTTCAGCTTCTAGAGAGAAGCCAGAGCAGTGCTGCTAGCTGCTGTAGTTTTAAGGGATGATGTGCTATACCCTTTTGCACTAGAGTCAGCAGAGGGAGGTCTAGTTGCTGTGGAGACCTGCTGTCCTGCAAGCCAAGGCATTTTTTTGTCTCCTGTCTCTGGTGGGACAGTAAGCAATATGGGTTGGCCCTAACATTAATTGGGAATGACAATAAGAAGGGTAAATGGCTTCATACTGCCAAGGTGCTTGCTTTCAGTACCTCTGCTACCTTAGTTACCCCTGCCTGGGGCATATGTACATTGTGAACTGCAGGGTAGAAGTACTTACAGCACTGCTCATTCTGCTTCTCTGACACTTCCTTTGCTTTCTTAATAAACATTACCTGGTAGAGCTGCAGCTGTAACTCTGGCTGTCCTCTTAGGACTGAGAAATGAAGACTTTGTCCTCCAAGAACAAGCGAAAATTCAAATCTTGTCAGTATTACCAGGATCATGGAGGACAGCAGTGGTTTGTAGTCCACTGCATAGGCAGGTATGAAATCCATATAGCTATATATATAAAGCCTCAGGCCTTTATTTGAATGGAAGTCTATTTCTGGAAAGAATAGTCCTAATGTGTGGTACTTCACTAAGCAGAGATCTGGATCTTAGCAGTATACATGTTGAAACTGCCTTCTGTTGGATTACAAAGTGATCAGGTACCTCAGAGGGGGGGAGTGTTAAGTGTAAAGAGTGCCCAAGTTGAAACAACATTTTTCTCTCTTCCCTTGGCACCTGGCAGTGCCTCTCAAAGACGCTTGCATGAATTAGATCCCAGCATCTTCCTTCTTGCCTCTTTTGTTGACTTGCATCAAAGTGCAGGCAGAGTGCAGAGCAAGACCTGGAGATTTTCGTCTTCCCATTGACCAAGGGCCATGAGGTCTGTGCACTGTAGAATTACTGAAGAAATTGCTGTAGCGCGAGACCTTTGCCTGACCTTTTGGCTCTTATCCATCCCCATATGACAGTCAATGCTTTATATACAAATTGCTGGCTAGAGTCCCCCACTAGAAACATGCTAGAAGGGAAGACTTTGCTTTGAATTTTTTTATTGTTTGTCTAGCTGCAACTGGCTGAACTTTCTTTCTGAGAAACCCTCTTACCCTGAGAATCCCACAAGCCAAACCATGTCTCCCAGTCATGATTTAGTATCATTTGTGTTGTGAAAAAGCCATGAAAATGTCCTGTACTGTAGTAAAACATGCACACTGCGGCTTTTCAGAGGTGGTTCTGCTTTATGCTGCTGTGTTACCTGATTTTTTGTTACCAGAACAGAAGATTTTGTAAGCTGGTTTTAGGGACACAGGTCTGCCTGCTGTGCACACCAGAGAAGATGATATCGCTGTTAAAGTCTCTGTACTTTTTTGTTTAAAGTCTTTCTATAGTCATTAAGAGATGTGTCTTAGAGCAGGTGTTTATGCCCTGTGGGGCAATATGTCAAGGTTGGCAGTGCAGGCAGCAGGAAGGGCAAAACACAGAGTTCAGTGCTTGGAATTAAGAGGATCTGGGATGGGAGGTACTGCAGCGATGAGTAGTAGAGAAACCTGATGATGAATGGCAGATCTTTGCAGCAGTGTGCAAAAATATGATATAAGAAGAGGGGATTTTTGTGTGGAAAGGATGAGGGCTTGGGACAAGAGATACAGAAAATTCAGCCTGGAGCAGAATTGAGAATAAGGAAGAGAAGTGGGCCTTGAGATAGGAAGGATCAATGTGATACATGAAAGGAGGTCTGGGGTAGTCTGAGGTAGGAAGGAGTGGGAATAATGGAGTATACTTGTCATGAGAAGCCTGGGAGTCTGTTCCCCACAGCCACTATGGGATGAAACAACCATGAGAATGAGAAAAGGTGGCTTAAAGGGGTCTTGTGAAAAGTTGGAGGCCCCTGAGGCTGTAATGAGGGTGTCTGTCAATAATCTCACATGTGATGGGCTCTGGGACAGAAAGATGTGGAAGGGAGGAATTCCCAAGCATGTCCCAGTAGGGCATCTGTTTTGGGATGTGGGTACACACAGAGGACCATCTCATCCTGTCACTCTTGCAGCATTTTGGTTTTGGAAATACAGCAGCACTAATCCTTCTGCTTGTCTAAATTAAGGTGCCACTGGCATTGAAGATCGCCTGCAGGAGGGTGTTCCAGACACAATACAGGCATTACGGAAAGCGGGAATAAAAATATGGATGCTGACAGGTGACAAGAGAGAGACAGCTGTCAACATTGCCTATGCTTGTAAACTGCTGGAACCAGATGACAGAATCTTCACTCTCAAATCACAGAGTAGGGTGAGTGGAAAATTACACTTTTCTTCAAATTATTTTTTTTCCTCTGCTGAAAAATTCAGTCAGGCTATATCACAGGGCAATACAGAAAAATAAAATGTTCTCTGCTTTCCCAACTGACCAAAGAGAGCATGATTTCTTGGAAGAAGAAAATACTGGAAAACTGACAGTTTGCTTCCTTGCGGGTAAAATATGAAATCCTTTATGTATATGTAACATCTGTTTATTAGAGTCCCTAAATGATGAATAATTATTTTAATTGAATAAACTGCTTCATTTCTCTTTGTGGTAGGTTAAAGAGTTGACGTGCTTCACATGTTACTAGAGATTTCAAAGGGCTGTGAGTTACAGCGTATTAGCAGTGTAAGAATTACTGTCATGCAAATTCTATTGAATTAAGTTTTGTGCTGCTTTGTGTAATATATTCCCTGAGCTCTGCTTGTCTTGCATAATGCAGAAAGAATTGTCTCATTAAAGTACATTGCACACTTTTCAAGAAAAATGATCTGCCAACAACTTAATCAGATAAAAAGCCACCTTCTCCCTACTGCCCAGTAATTAAGTCATGTGATAAAGAGTGATTAAGAATGCTGCTGGTTTGGGTGGCAAGTTTAATCCTACTTGATCAATGTGTCTTCTTGTGGATGCTTATCACCAGCTGTTTTTAAAATCTTGATTTTTATCAATTTTGATAATTGGTAAAGCCAGTGTATGAAATGTCTCTCCTCAGAGCAGAGACATGAAGTCTGAGACTTCTCTAAAGGACTGGAGGATTTTTCTAAGACCTTTCGTTTTTCTATTTTTCTCTGTTTATATGTTACATTAGAAATTCGATTTGTATCTGCCAGAAAAGATTCTGGGGGAAGTGGTAACTGTGGAGAAAATAAAATGAAAAAGAAAGGATTTTTTTAGTCCAGTTGTGTTTGAGGGAAGCTTGGGGTTTGATTTGCACTAACACTTTTTTCTTCCTTTTTTCCTACTGGAGAACGAGTGTCTGTCTTAACAGTGAAAACTGAGCCCCTTTTGCAGAGGTGCTCATCCTCCCTCTAATTGGGCTTTGAATTAAACAATAGACAGGATTTGATACTGTTGCATCTCAAAGTAAAATAATGAGAAGATTTAAGAATATGTATTTTCTTCTATATATAGCACGCGTATTACCTACATTGATATCAAAAATCTTTTGGGCATCTTACATTGATTCTGACAAGGTAAAAAATTCCACAAGGCCAGTTCTTTAGTAATTAATTGCAGCTCACCTATAATGTGATTTGAAATTCACTTTTGGCTTTGCATGCCAGGCAAAAGAAGTGTAGAGAGCAAAAGTCTTCTATCAAAGCTATTTCTATCTGTATTTCTATTACAGAATCCGTAATGGTTGTTTTTTGTGTTAGTCTATGAACATTTTCTGATTTGCCTCATTTTTTTCCCTTCTCCTAGTACAGTACCCAAGCCAATCTACGTAAGCCAAGTTAAATCACAGGCCCTTTTATTAACAACAGACTGCATCCTTTGTGCTTCTAAAGGGTTATTCAGCCTCATGTCTGAGCCTTCCTGGAATCAAGTGAAGTACTGCACAAGGGCAGCATTTGACCTTTTCTCCATATGTATTTTATAAATTGAAAAGGGAGCCAGAACACAAACAGTATTTAATAAGTTGCCTTTCTCTTGCCTTTAATTAGGATGCCTGTGCCTTGGTGATGAGCAAAATTTTAGAAGGCATCCAGAAGAATACTTCTGCCAAAAATTCCCTCAGTCAGAAACTTGGGAGTGTCTCTGCAAGTTCCTCCACCCAAGCTCCAGGGTTCAGTGCAGGCCTGGTTATTGATGGAAGGACTTTAGAGCATGTCCTTCATGACAGCCTACAGGATATTTTCTTGGAACTCACGGAAAGATGTCGGGCTGTAGTCTGCTGCCGAGCCACACCACTGCAGAAGAGTGTCCTGGTCAGACTGGTGCGAAATAAGCTGAAGGCAATGACATTAGCTGTCGGTGAGTCCTGTGATTATCTTCTTTTCTCTAAAAAGAAGTAGAAGCCAGTTTCTTCTCTCCTATATTTTTGTTAGTGTCTGCTACTTTACAAGGAAGATAGTCCTTTGAATTGTAGTTGTCTCTGGCATAAGATGATGCTAGTCTTCTGAACTAGCAAATTTAGTCCATAAACTTCCTCATGGTAATCTAAAGCAACAAGAACAGTAGCAGTCCTGTACAGTGTCGTGTAACGGATCCAAAGGAGCAAGTAAGGGGGTTTTCCTTGTTATTCTCCATCTCGACCCCGCAAAATAGGGAGGGAGAGGGAAGATGACTAGCTGTGATTTAAACCACCCATATTTTCTGTTCCAGCATACCAACTAAATTCTGACGAAAGGAACAGCTAATACCCATTTGGAGAATAGAGCTCAGTTCAGTCAGGCCTTCAGCTTACTAATCCTGCTTTCTGTAGGGTTTTCCATGGGCTGCACAGTTGGCCATAAAAATGTTTTTCTCTGAAGTCTCTGGTGTTCTTGTATATTTATCTTTTCCTGCCTCCTTCATGGCAACGTGATAGCGAACAAAGCTGCCTCCAAGTTGCATTCCAAATAAGAGAGGTTAGTTTTGATTTTTCCTCTTTCCTTTTCTCTGTAGGTGATGGTGCCAATGATGTCAGTATGATCCAGGTGGCTGACACTGGTGTGGGAATATCGGGCCAAGAGGGCATGCAGGTAGTGTATACAAAGAGAGCTGCAAATGACATCAGATTCCATTTTAAATCAGTTCAGAGTTTACCCTGGAGCCCTAGTGGCTCCACAGTCCATTACTGTACACGGGCAAGAGTTTGCAGCCTGAGCTCACACCCAGGCCTCAGGAGCACTCAGAACCTGAATGCTACAGGGGTTCAAACTCCAAACAGCAGAGCTTACTGCCTGTCACCGAACTCCCTATTACTCATGTCCTGCCAGGAAAGAAGCAGCCTAAGCGTCAGTGATTTCTGTGCAGTTGTGTGGTAATAATAAAGACAGCCATGTTCCTGCCTATGTTGTGTTGGGCTGAGCTGTATGTGTTAGTGTAAAATGTTGTATGGAGGGGCTCAGATCTGAGTGAGGGTAAGACCATAAGCCCTATGTATAAAAAAAATCAAAATAAGAATCTCCAGCAGTAGGTAAGTTGCTCACGTGGCAGTATCTGAAGCTTATCTCTAACAGTTTGGATATAACATATTCCCTCCTTCGTGTCCATTGCAGGCTGTTATGGCAAGTGACTTCGCAATCTCTCAGTTTAGACACCTCAGGAAGCTGCTGCTTGTCCACGGTCATTGGTGTTACACCAGACTTACCAACATGGTGCTTTACTACTTCTACAAGAACGTGGTATGTAGGTGTCCCATCCCAGGGAAATCACACTTTGTGTGTTTGAGAGCACTGAAGGGTTTAGTGGGGCTTTATATTTTTTAGTTTCTATTGTGAATGGGTTCAAAAAGACACAAAAAGCATATGTCAAACGATTCAGTTTCCCATTTATGTCTGCAGAGACTCTTATTCCTTGGATTGAATTTCCCACTCAAAGCCATTGTCTGATTTGATTAACCAGCGGGTAATGGACATTACTAATGTGGTGGCAGAATGACTATTTAAACAAGTTGTGTCCAATTTTGAAATGTCAAGTTGTGTACTAGTCAAATATAATTTCGAAGTGTGGGATTGGCATGAACTCCACAGCCTTTATATTAATTTTCCACAGATTACTGTAACCAGACCTAAGATCTGCCTGTTTTCCTCCTGACTTTTAAAACACTTGTTTATGGGTAACACTTTATTATGTCATCTTTGACTTTTCAGGCCTACGTGAACCTCCTGTTCTGGTACCAGTTCTTCTGTGGGTTTTCAGGCACATCAATGACTGACTACTGGATCTTGATTCTTTTCAATCTCCTATTTACATCAGTGCCACCCATCATTTATGGTGTCTTGGACAAAGATGTGTCTGCGGAGATACTCATGCAGCTCCCACAACTATACATGATGAGCCAGAAGTCTGTGGTAGGTTAAAGAATGCTTGGCTGGAAGCAAATTGAAATAGTCAGCACTTGAACCATTTCTGTCTTTCTTTCCTTCATGGTTCACATCAGGCAAATACGAAGTTTGAAACCACTTTCTCTATTAGAAAGACATCTAGGCCTGTGCAATATGTGCACAAATAAAACCTGTTTTTTCAAAAGCTTTTTGTAGGCTGTTTTCCACCATACACCCAATCTTATCAGACATTTGGATGATAAGAGAAATGAGGTACTTCAGGTGAGGCAGTGTACTAGATCAACATCGATACCAGCATGTTCACTTCATTCACTGCCTCAGCTATTAACATGCATCCTCAAAATGGGTTTATTTTGAGCATCTGGGCTTACTTTTAAATATAAGGGCACTAGGATACTGTTTTTTCACTGTCATATAATGGTCTTAACTGCCAAAGTAATGAGGAATAGATAAGAACCAGATCAGATTCCTTTCAAATAATCCTCAAGAAAGTTCCGTCATTCAGGGTTCTTTTCCCCTTATGGCTATGTTCTGGAATTTGCTGGTGGCACTTTTCTCCCATCTGCAAACACTATACATCATATCTGCTCTGTAAGTAAATTCTGTCCAAACATTTAGCACAGAAAACCACAGGGACCAGGTGGTATTTTCTAAATTAAAATTACATAAATCAGTAAGCTTTTTCCTGATTTCTGCTTTGCTTAGCATGAATTCTAGCATAATTTTAACTTTATAATTTTTTTTTTAATTTAACACTGAGTTAAAATAATATTTTTATTATAACAATTGAAGGCAGTGACATACTGAGTCTGAGACAGAATAGATACTAGTAGCCCAGAGAGTGGAAAGATTGAGCACATGAGTCACCTAAAACTCGTAATTTTCTTTAATCATAGCCTTTCAATAACAGACTGGACATTAGGAAGCATTTCTTTACAGAGAGGGTGGTTGAACACTGGAACAGCCTTCCTAGAGGGTGGGTTGATGCCCCAGGCCTGTCAGTGTTTAAGACGCATTTGGGCAATGCCCCTAATAACATGCTTTAACTTGTTCAGCCCTGAAGTGGTCAGGCAGTCCCTTCCAACTGAAATAGTCTATCCGTGACCCGGCAATGTGCGCTTGCAGCCCAGAAAGCCAACTGTATCCTGGGCTGCATCAAAAGAAGTGTGACCAGTAGGTCGAGTGGGGGGGATTCTCCCCCTCTGCTCTGGTGAGACCCCCCTGCAGTACTGCCTTCAGCTCTGGGGCCTCCAGCCCAAGAAGGACATGGACCTGTTGGAGTGAGTCCAGAGGAAGCCACGAAGATGATCCGAGGGCTGGAGCACCTCTCCTGTGAAGACAGGCTGAGACAGTTGGGGTTGTTCAGCCTAGAGAAGAGAAGGCTCCAGGGAGACCTTAGAGCAGCCTTCCAGTACCTAAAGGGGCCTACAAGAAAGCTGGGGAGGGACTTGTTACAAGGGCAGGCAGTGATAGAGCAAGGGGGCAATGGCTTTAAACTGGAAGAGGGAAGATTTAGATTAGATATCAGGAAGAAATTCTTCACAGTGAGGGTGATGAGGCACTGGAAGAAGTTGCCCAGAGAAGCTGTGGATGCCCCATCCCTGGAAGTGTTCAAGACCAGGTTGGATGGGGCTTTGAGCACCCTGGTCGGGTGGAAGGTGTCACCGTCTATGGCAGGGGAGTTAGAACTGGATGGTCTTTAAGGTTCCTTCCAACCTAAACCATTCTGTGATTCTGTGATTCTGTTCTAGCCTAGCCTATCCTGTTCTAACAAATACTATTAATAAAAAAGAGCTACAACATGTTGTGTGCTAGTGGTGCAGTCTCACCTGTATAACCTGCAGACGTATAGGTCTGGTTTAGAAAGGAAAGATGGATATATAGTGAGGGGAAGATTTGTTTTGTTTGTTTGTGGACTTTCGCATTTCTTTTTACATATCCTTAAATATTTTATGTTGCTTAGTTTATGATGTTTTTGCAAAACAAAGTACTATTTTGGTGCCAATCCAAGCCTCTGTAGACTGGCTGGAGCAGGTCTCTGCTTTGTCAATCACAGAGAATTTTGACCATGTAAATGTTAGAAGGCCTCAGGATTTGGCCCTTTGTTTTGATCTTGAGGACATGTACAGTGATCTGAGCTGAGGTGAAGGTTTTGAGGCAACATAATCTAAATTACTGCATTATGTGGTAGTTTTTCTATTTCCTTTTATTTTTCCCTTAACTTTTGTCAGAGATTTTCTCTTTTGTCCAGGACAGCATTGCCTTATTCTGCAGTTGGAGTTGTTAAGTGGTATATCATTTCCTTTCTTGTATGGAAACACAGCAAAATAATTGCTTTGAATTAAGTGCAGTATAGAAGAAAGAGAAATGCATTAAAAGATGTAGTATCACAATATTGCACCATGACATCACAAGTGCACAGCTCTGTACAAGCTATAAAAATGGACGGTAACTTGAATTGATCTTCAGTAATTTAAAGCACTTCCTTGAGAGGCAAATAAGAAGGTAAGTTTCCCACACCACCTCCAGAGAGCAGTTCAGTTCTTGAAAGGGCTGAATGGCTTTTTGGAGAAACTCATCTCTCTCCAGCAATTGCAGAGGAAGTCCTGGGTGACCAGACTGCACACCTACGTGTCTCAATGTAGTGCCTGAAGGAATGGGATATATCTGAGCCAGGGCACGTGCAGCTATGGTTTCATAAGCGGTTGAGCCATCATAGCAGTTTGCTGCCACTGAGTGAGGAAGGCTCGTTCCTTCTCTTCTCCCTTTTCTACCCGTTCCCTGTTTTCACTCACTTAGTTAAACTACCTTCCTTGTGCCAGCTCGGTTGTCTCATCAGATCCTTCCTGGAGCTGGTTTAACTGACTAAAACAGCAGAAAAGTGAATTGAGTTCTCGCATTCTAGTGAGTTAAGTTAGCTGACAGAGGAGTCCGGTCCACACAGAGGAGTCAGCCAGTGTGAGGCAGAAGCCCATGTACCAAAAAGAAGCAAGGGGACGTAGAAGAAAGTGGGAGTTGGCATTCAGTACTGGTAAGGTGCTAGCGTAATTCAGTGTCCCCTAGCCCTCTCTCTTGGCACTCAGTTAGGTAAAGCTCTGGTAGGCCGCTTCTGGCAGAAACAGCTGTTAAGATCAGAGTTCCTAGATCTGGCTGTTGATTTGAATACTAACAGTTAGTTACGTGTGTGGAGCGAGCTCTTTATTCTTCTTATCATAATACAAAAGATGGCTCTTCATTGGAAACTAACTGAATTACCTCTGCAGATAATCTTTCCCCAAATCCAAATTAATGCTAATTAAGGATGCAGCAATTTATTCAACTTGTTTCAATGCCATTATCTTTTTTTTTACAGGCTTACTTACCTTCAACTTTCTGGATAACCTTGCTGGATGCTTTTTACCAAAGTCTTGTTTGCTTTTTTGTGCCTTACTTTGTAAGTGCTGGATATGAAATATGTTTATACATTTTGGCATACTAAAAACTCAGGCAAATTAGAGAATAAAATGAAGTGTTTGATGTTACTTCCTCATACATAAATGTGTACTAACAGGATCATCACTGGAACTGAGCTGAACTGTGTGCATGCAAATATGTGTGGTATTGAAACTATTCATGATGCTTTGTGTATTAGGACTGTGTGTAAAGAATATATTATGCTGACTGCTGTCTTCCTTTACAGACTTACTATGGCTCAGACATAGACATTTTTTCTTTTGGAAACCCTATAAACACAGCAGCGCTCTTCATAATACTGTTTCACCTTCTCATTGAGTGCAAGTCTGTGGTGAGTACTTTGTTCCCAAAAGAGATTATTCCTAACAGGGTATGTGCATGCAGCTTTCATTAAAATTTAACAGAAGAAAGAGCTTCATATACAAAACAGAATAAGTATAAAAGGGCCAAACCCTAAATATTTTATTTATGTGACCATGTGAACTCTCCTAATGCACCTGTCATTGGAGTCAATAGAATTACTCATATGACTAAAATTAACAAAATTTTGCCTCAGAATTGTTTGTAAATAGTGAAGGGATCCTGTCTTGTTAGGGTACGGTGGTGTTTTTCGGGATGTCAGTTTAGTTTTGTAAATGGTAAAACCAACTAGTGATCTACTGAGCCTTCATTAGCTTGCAAAGCTTGCATCTCAAAGACAACAATGTGAACTGTTGATTTTGAGTGCTTGGAACTGATGATCTGACCTGTGGCCAGGATAAGCATTTCAGAGGTATATTTTAGTGGCAGAACTAGAGAAGCGATGTGCTACAGAAATGCTATTCCAGTTTTTAATTAAGTTTGCACAAGCTAAAGCATCTGCATTAGCTTGGATAAATTTACAGCTCTTACAAGGGTAGTACTTGGCTATTTTGCATAAATTTAAAGAAAGTACAGTAATATTTACAGTAGAAGGACACAGATGAATGAGGTTTATTTTTTCTCTGTTATTTTTTTGAAAAATATTTCTTAGGATTGTTTCATAATGGATGACATTTCAAGTTATGATTCAGTCTTTTCATTGTTCTTTTGGGAACATGGCAGCAGTGATAAAAATGTCTTTGTTGAGAATATATGGGTAGCACAAGTGTATCCACACTCTGAATAGGAAAACATTACTTAAATGGGTTTTATTTGGCATTTTTGAATGTCTGCAAGCTGTCAGGCCAATGACAGTGTTGTTTCCATAGTAACTATGATAGCCATTTAGGTATAAAATTACAGAAAATTCCAATGCAGAACAGTTGATCCGTGTCTCAAGCAAGATATGTAAGGGTGGTGTCATGTGAAGATCTCGCCTCTATTTGCTTGAGAAGGCTTTCTCTGCTGCCAGTAGATAAGGCGGTCATCTAAGGCAAATGGCACAAAAAATGTCTTTCATAAAGGAATCAAAAGATATGCATTTAGTAAAATAAAAAAAATTAAATGGCTGGGTTACCTATGAACTGTAGGAAGAAGGCTCCATTCTTCCTGAACTGTTTTGTATGAAAATAGGAATATTATCTGAACAGATCTATCTTCTGTTACATTAAGCAGCTGTCCTTGGAGGAAGAGTGTGTGTGTGTTCATGCATGCATGTGTGCACACATACAGGTGTTACAGATCTTTCTGTTTACAGCTTAAATCGGATTCCTTTCCTTTTCTGAATTGCAGACTTGGATACATACAGCAATTATAGTTGGCAGCATCCTGTTCTACTTTGTCTTTGCTCTGGCTTTTGGGGCAACCTGCAAAACCCACAACCCACCATCAAATCCTTACTGGATCATGGAAAAGCACATGACAGACCCAGTATTTTACTTAGTTTGCCTCCTGACTACTTGTGTTGCTCTGCTACCCAGGTGCGTTTCTGTTTTATACTTGTAGATTACTGTTGTTAACAAAATTAATTTTCTTTGAGTCAGTGATGCTGTAAATCTTTCTGGCTACAGGTCTTTCTTCCCGCCCTCACCCCCAATATAAGGAAAAGTCAGTAACTCTGCCAGACCAAGCCATGTAAGGACAGCTCTTTAGTGACATGTTCTCAAAATAAATTTCAGTAAATAAAAAATTTCTTTTGTGAATTGTATTATATTAAATTA